GTCTATTCTTCAGCACTCCTCCGCACCATTTCCTCGCTAGTGTTCTTCATCAAAGAAATAGTGCATTTTTTCGAGGAGGCGAAGCATCGTAACCGTATTCGCTACGCGTATGGCTCCGACATACGGCAAAGATTGTAAAAAGCCCAGAAAAAATCTACTCTGCCATTTCTCTGAAGTAACGATGCTGTTTTTGCACTCGTCAGACGCGATTGACGGCAGGCCGGGTGCAGCGATTTGTTTTGTGCACAGAGACAGGGGTTTGTCCGATTAGTCAGTGTTGTTTGGGTTCCAAACAGTCCAAGTATACAGGGTTTTAAAATGCGAAGAGTATAGTGGAGGTTGGTGAGAGGAAAGTCTGCCCTCTTAGATGTCTGTAGGCATTCTTTCTTATTGAACGTTTGTTATTTACTGTGCCGAGACAGAACAGACAGATGATTGCAGGTGGAAAAAAATTTGAAGGCAAACCCCATTGCAAGGAATGTTGTTCGCAGAGGTCTCTGCACTTTGTTTACCAGTTAAGGAAGTGAACTTTGTTCGAAAAAACTTGCCCACTCCCGTCTGAAACAGAGCTGAGGTCTTCACAAAGAGCGATAGGAGCTTGCCTGCCAGAAATGAGTGTTCTTTGCTCCCTTTACGATGGTCTCCTCTCCTCACAATTTGTTGCAGCCATTATTCGCTTACTTGAACGCTTCAACTTCTCGAAATAACAGTTGACACGGTCTGTTTGATTTGTAGGGTCTCCATCGATTAAAAAACTTCCCAGCTCGCTACCCAGTTAGCGAATGTGTCACAACTCACACAAAGAAGGATCTCACGATAAAGTCGAAGAAGAGGAGATTAACCTAGCGGAAAAAGGGCGATATGGAGCTAAAAATCTAAATCTAATTGATTCCTGATTTTCCTACGGGGGAAGAGGGCAATAACAACAGCTCTTTTGTCTCCGCATTTAAAGGGAATTATTCACATTTTGCCAAATTCGAAAGGAATGCTCCACTCGAAATTGAAGAGCATATTTTTTTGTAAAAAACTTCATAATAGCCTCCACACGGTGGCATCGTACGAATTTATCAATAGGTGAACTGGAATCGGTCAACGGATTTCTCGAAGATTCGCATGTACCATTACGGGGACGTTTTCTTGAAGCCGCCGGTGCGGAGAAGCTTGCAGCGTCACAAGCTAAATTGTAATGGGAAGTATCCACCTGAATCTATGTAGTCGTAGCAGCTCCAGGCTGGAGCAATTGCGGTAGTTCTCCTTGAGCTCGACGGCGGCAGCATATGACGTCACATTCCGAAGGGTGGAGGGCAGTGAAGGACGGCTTGCTTTTACTGATAGTGGCGGTATTTTTAGAATATTTTAGCGAAAAAAAATCGCTGTGCGACGACATTAGGCTGGTGCCTTTATTTTATCCCCCCCACGGTTTTACGGACTACTTGATTTTTCCTCAATGGTCCTGCCGCGATGGCTAGAGCACAGACGATTAGAGAACGGGTGAATGCCCTAGGACTAAGCCTTGGAGAGGAGAGGGACCCGCGAGAGAGCGCAGAGGGTTTAAAGGGCTGAGTTCAAGTAGTCCGTCGACCACCCCCCCCCCCACCTGTAAATGGATGCTGGTGTCGGTAGTTGATGTGCAACAAATCTTTTCTGTACTTATTCGCTTTCTGTTGGGGACAGGATTATGTCAATTAGTGTCTGCGTTGAAAGAGGCACGAATACTCATACAGAAGGCATGAAATAAGTTTAGTCATTTCTGATAGCAACCGCTAACTTTAGGTTTTTTTGGTCGACCTGTGGGTCGGTCCCAGGTCTACTTGTTTATCCGCAAAGTTTCTGTGGGCATGATAGAGACAGGGATCATACGAAAACCTTCAAAGTGGTAAGGGAAATTCGGTGTCAAAACTAGGATCAACATCGGTGTCGAGGAATTGAGTTGATGTGATGTTATGTCGTGAAACGCTCCTCTTCTATGTATAAGACACCCACATTAACCTACGCATCACCCTACAAGGTGTACCGACCTTGCAAGTGGAGCTACAGGCAGGAGCGTAGCAAGTTCAGCATATACAGAAAAAGGGAAATGACAGTCCAAAAAACACTGGTGAAGAGTGAAGAATAAATCATTCAGCATCGATCCTTTATTGGATGCGCCACGTATTCTGATTCTCAGTTCGGAGTTGTAGTGACTTTGAGTGCGATCTAGCCCACACTATGGCTTGGGGATATAGGCAATGTGCAAGTCTAATCAGTCTGATGTCACTTAGAGGCAAGGTCTGGGATCGAAATAATGCATTATTACCCGTACAGGTGACAGTGGAGATGTTAGGTGTAACGCCAACAATAGAAAAATGGAATAAAACCGTCGACGAGGCTGAAAATAAAACTCTCTCCAGTAGCAGCAAGGCGAAATATGATTTTTGGGCGGGCTCAGTGTTGTCAGGCGAAACCAGTGGTGCACCTTAGGGCCTTAGTGCGTCGGCCATGTCATATCATCTAGAAAGTTGTCTGCGTACTTTCCGCTTGCGCGACGCTGCGTTTTTCTGGGGTGAAGCTTAATTTCGAGCAGAAATCCCGGACATTGTCTTTATCCTTTTGACAACAACACGGCAATTTCTCGCGTGTCCGCGTGGAACCGTGACCTTTTCTCCACTTGAAGTAATGCTATCTAGACCAATAGCTACACGCAACAATGTCTAAAAGAATCATAATTCAGTCAGTTTCAGTGCTTTTGAACATAGGCAAAAACTCCTTGTTCGATTCAGGAAGATTGGTAGAGTCGGCTTGAAAGTTGTTATTTTTACACTTCCGCATCCGTATGAGAAGCTGGAGGATCTATTATCTGTGCGTTGGGCGAACTGCGAGTAAAAACCACCTTCTCCGTTTGAGAATTATACGCTTCACTCAGGAGAATTACTTCCGAACACCTCTTTGTAAATAATTATTAACTGTGAAAAATATGCGCTAACTACTATCACCATCAATACCGTAATCTGCTTTGACCAGAATGCCATCGTTAGAAATTTGCAAACAAAACCTATAATTCCACAATCTTAGCTACCCAACAATTAGCGACATCCTCCCATGGGGCATACCGGCTTTCCTTTCAGTACTGGGTGAGATAGAAAGCTTAGTTAACCGAGTCTGGAAACGAGATTTGAGATGACCATACGTGTGCCAGACGGCCCCACTTGTCGTAACGTCACCCTTCTGAAGAAAAACAGGAAGCATGCGAAGAAATCAGTGAAAAGGATGGCGAACATCAGGAAATAGCTGGTTGTTTGATTATTTGACACCCTCTGGGATTATTAACAAAAAAGAACTGTGAAGTTCCGTGGGGATTGCGACTCGCTTCGACGGATAACTGTAGCTGATCCATATATTCTCGAGATTCTATGAAAAGCTGATTGTGGTGAGATGGCGTAGTTCTTTATGTAAAGGTTAATTTTTGGACTGCTTTCGAGAGAGAAATTTCCACCACAGAGAAGTGAATAAAGGGCACAGCTCTGGAAAAAAAAGCTCTAGGGAAAGACGCTGGATCAATTGCTCTGAGATAGCTAGAAAAAATGGTGGGCGGATGTTGTACAAGAAGCGTGAGTGATGGGTGAGGCAATATTGTGCTGTTCATTTGCTCATAAACTTTCACTGTCTCTCTTCGCAGTTGTTATTCACTCTCGAAACAGTTCATTGAGCAAGTCATGTGGTTTCGTAGAGTAAGAATAACAGAAAATTGTGAAAGAAGAACGCCGTAACCTATCTTCAGGCGAGCACTAATCTAAAAAAACAGAGCTGACCATTTTAAAGGCAAAAGGCAAAATTTAAAGGCAAACGAAAGCACCGATTACGCCCCGCACAGAGACCTCCCTATTTCAAGGTTCCAAACGCCTTGATAGACAAGGAGGGCGTCGACGAATTCCCGGAACCTGACTCTGTACACCCCAGTACCAATAACATTGGCGTTTTTGGCAGTGAGACCGGCTTGCCTCATCCTCACGCCTGCGCTTTTTTAATTTGAAAACCCCAGTCACTGACAGATGCAGCCGACATCCGGTGGCTGTGAACCGCGGATGCATCCGACGGTTGGGACCCATTTCATCCACCGGTTGCCCTCATGGAAAAAGTTTCAGCACCAATTGTTGATTTTTGCCACTTCACCTCACTTCAAGAAAGGGTCGCGAGGGACAATGATGGCCACCGGTAGCTGCCACTTTGCGATCGTCTCAAACAAAGCTCGTCCGAACGGGCAGATTGAAAATCCTGCGCGGTCGCGAATGGGTTAAGCAGCGCCACGTGGCAACCGACAGCGGAGGGTGGGGCTTGCGGACGAAGGTGTGAGTTGCGGGTCGGACGAGCTCCTTGCGCCTTTGTCGCGCACTTTCAAGCGGCAAAAGGGGCGCGACATCAACGCTTGTCCGCCTGTCCTACTACCCCGGGATGGAAGAGGCGAGCGCGCCTAATCCCGGAGCGTGCCTTCAAATGAATGCGCTCAGTATGCACATCCTGACTGTACAATAACTTGAGTAGAGAGGTGAACGAAATGAGTGTCTGTGAGGTGAAGAAATTGCTTTAAACACAATACCCAGCAAAGGAAATGCAGTAGAAAAAGGTGTGGGCGTTGCAGACTCTGCGGCGCTTGTGCAACGGTATATCGTAACAAAGAAGTAAGAATAAGAGTGAGGCTCACGTACGGAAAGGAAATTAACACCTTGGAGCCCATGCAGCCCATATGTGGGCTGCAGTCCGTCGACCGCGTAGGACCTTTCAGCTCACATTTCGGAAACAAATTAAGTTTTTCTTTTGCTTTCTTTTCCATTTCATTCGATAAGGATTTCTTCTGCATCATACAGTAGGTTTTCTTTCAATTTGCTTGATAAGATTCCTAAAAATTTCACTGAAGTCCCACGTCGGCCGAAAAACGTGAAACATGCGCGGTCTCCAAAGTGTTAAGCAGTGATTTTGTGACGGAACGAAGTTCCAGTGAATTTTATGGTAGATGTGAAGCGCTAATGTGGCAAAAACATTTAAAATTTCAGTTCGTCGTTCCACATTTGTCGTACCTTTGTATGGATGCGAACTGGGGCGTTCGGAAGGCGGTATGTGAAGTGTTTGTGGAAGTGGCCCGTCATACCTCACCAAATATTCGGCGAGCGCAGTTGGCACAGACGTTTGTGAAACTTCTCCATGATCCATCGCGTTGGGTTAGTTTTTACCCCACTTCTCGCTATGTACTGTAATACAGGATTTAAGTCTACTTTTTGTTTCAGGTATGGTACACGGCATTTCAAGAACTAGGTCCTTTTATTGCAACTTTCGCTAATTCGAAGTTGTCCGGGTTGAAAATAAAGGATGGACAGGTATCTCAGGCAGAATAATTTGAAAGGGAGCACCTCGAGGATAGAGTTATATCGTTCTTTTAAGGTCTGCGAATCAGATGGTCGTTGTGATTCGGAGAGCATCGTTGCGGATTCTGTGGACTTCGAGAAACTTCCTTCTGGATGTTGCATGCCTGAAAAGGACTCCGAGGAAGACGATGCGGAGGATAGTGGTCAAGAGTCCGATCATAGCGAAGATGCTGAACAGTAAGACTTACTATCAGATTCTTCAGATAGATTGAAATATTAGCTGAAGTTTCCTGGACAGTGTCTAGTGAGGCTAAAATTGTGAGGTATTTTTTGTCAGTACCTTGACGAAAGCACTCGTTTTTCGTTTTGCCAGTGTGGACAGGCACGATTTGGCGAACGCTGTAAAGCAGGCAGGAAATATAGGAAACCTGGGGCGGTATTCAATCCTTCCCCCAGGGGTTGGGGGACGGAAATCCCTTTAAATTTTCCCTGTCTTCCCGAATGGGGTTGTCCTGATAAAGGGCCTACGTTTAATGTATTTATGTATGTCAATGTAATCATGCGTTGAAAATGAAGAAACCACATCGTTCTAAACAAATAATTTAAACGGGATTTGCCGCCCCATCCCCAATACCGGGGAAAGGATTGAATACGCCCTTGAAGTAAGCGGCCTTAGCTGCTTCAAATATGTCTGGAAAATGTCCTCAAAAAATATAAAGATGAACGAAGTACCGCTAGTGGGGATATTTAGTAACAGAGTTACAGCTCCACTGGGTGCCACGCCGTCCCACCGCCGCCTTACGCGTCATGCTAAGCGTGATACGCTATAGTGTCATGCTGTTTTGAAGGTGTTAAGATGTAAAAGAAGTTTTAGTCAAGGGACAGTATTTGAATCTAGATTAATTTGAATTCAAATTGAATTAAAAAATGGAACATATTAATTAGTTTTGGATTAATTACGATTCCTTGCATAACTATGCCCGATTATCAGATCTTTTCCTACCGAACCTCACGAAAACTTGATTCTTGGCAAAGCATTCATTTTCTAGAATTATCGATGGATTGCAACATATGCTGGATACGTGGACTGCTGGACATAAGAAAAACTCAACACACAGCGCTCCACCCAGTGTCATGTTAGTTTATGGATTAGAAGAGCTTTGTAGCAGCTGTTATAAAATGAAAATTGTTGTAATACAAAAGTGCGGCTTTTTTCAGTGAGGGCGAACCATCAAGTTCAGGCGAAGGTGTCGGCATTGCAGCCAAGTGTAATTCGTCGGATGATTTGTCGAAGTCAGTTTTTTTTCCTAACACAATATATACAAGCCAACGTTGTAGCCGGGAGCGGCGAAATTTTCCCTTTCTCTGCATTCCTTCCGTTGTGCTCACTTCTATTTGCGAGGTCAAGTCCTTGTGGAGTGGATGCGTAAGTACGAAATGGATGTATCATCAGAGGAGGGTGTCGCTACCGTGGACAAAGTAGCATTAGGCCGATGTCAGACTTTGCGAATCGCGCGATTCGCTACTAGCGATTCGCGCGATTCGCTAGCGTCCGCGGTCGCGTTGCGGTACCAGCCAATTGAGTGATTCACTGGCCGCGACGCGACCGCAGACGCTAGCGAATCGCGCGATTCGCAAAGTCTGACATCGGTTTATCTCGTACCTCAGCACTAATTTGTTCACATGCCCTGTTAAAAGTTGGTTACCACAACCACTCCCTTCACCTGTGCGCCCAAATGCAGGATCATGTGGTGTGGTAGAGAGTATCGCAACAATTCTGTGTAGTGGGCAAAACTTTCAGCCCCAGCCAGGATTCGTACCCGAATTTATCCAATAAAACAAGCCAAAAATGGTAGAGAGTGTCGTGTCAAATGGAGTGTGTTCGCTAGTACAGAAAGCGACTTTTCTGCTTTTTTTTCACTGCGGGAACCCAGGTCCGCTCCAGATTAGCGGTGAACCTGGGATTTCCCCAACGAAAAAAGGTTTCGCGCTGCAAAAACGGAAGGATCTCTGTCCTAACAAATCTCACCCTGCTCAATAGGTCTTATGAACCAGTTAGAGGCCTGTTACAATTACAACCAATCAAACACCAGAATACTGGTATTGCGAGACCGGTGGGTTCCCTAGTTTTGTTGCGCTATGAGCTTGTCCGTTGTCACATGCTCCGATATAAGATTTTGCGGACGGACGAACGCAGCGATATCCCACTTTTTGCCTCTCGCAACGCAGCGTGAAGGCAAAAGTATGTAGGAAACTTAGTTGTTTGGTGTGAAGCTGAAGTCTTTTGTTTTGTAAGGCTGAAGTCATCATGAAGGCATATATGGAAAAATAGGATAGGTATCATCTAGGCTTACTCACACAGATTCCCAGGAAATCTTCGCACTTTTCTCAGCTATGAAATTAAGTCGGGGTGGGTGAAGAGGTGCTGCAAGTTGTTGATCTGCCTGATACCATAAGAAGTGTCATTCTCTTGTCCTGTATGTTGCCACTTGTAGGCTAATGAGTTCAGCAACTGCACCAAACTTGCATTCACCTTTCAGCAATTTTGAGTTATGGTCTTGAGGGGGGGGGGGGGGGGGGGGGGGGGTCGGTAGCTAGCTAGATAGGCAACAAAGAGATGGTTTACTGGCAGTACCGTGTTAAACGTTTACTTACCGAACTTATCGGCTAAATGTGCTGTTTTAGTTGTTAGCAATGATTTTAATTTTGTTTGCTCTGTCGTTAACGTCACCACAATGCGTTGCTTCAGGGTTGGGCTGGATGACGACGATGACGAAAACTTTGATGAAAACGATATGGACTTATTAGATACTACGTTGCGATTAGATCTGGACGATAGCTTCGGAAATGATGAAAAGTGAGGGCTCGAGACCAGCAGAGGTATGTTTAGCAAGTTCCAAGCAGACTATTTTATAAATTACCCTTTTTTGGTGTTGTTCGTTTTAACAGTTTGCCTACTATGTATGCTTAGTGTTGCAGCCTTTACCGAATGCGCACGAAGATTTCACTCCGGTATCGTACTGGGCAGATTCGTATGAAGGATTCGCAGACAAGTACGTCACTCATCGGTGTGCCTTTGATCGGTCCCATAGAAATGCAGGTCCAGCGATGAATATGGTCGAATTCTTGGCCTCCGCTAATCTGTTCCAACTGCGCCATCGTTCTTAGACGACGATATGACGTCCTCTATGTGTCACCAGAACGAACGGGAACACCAATTACAAGTCCCCGTCGATCACGAAATAGTGTGAGCTCAGAAGGTGATGAGCTCTTCTCTCTCTCACCAAAAACTTCGTATAACTTCGCGACCCGTACTAGTGGACAATTCGGGTATTGAGACAGAGTGTTTTGCTGACTGCATGAGGAGAGGCGGTATGATGAGTCTTTTTGGGGAAGACGTAAACACAGGTGCGCTTCGCTGGTCTACTGGTGTGTTGCCGGCTGGCAGTTTTTCTTTTTTTTCTCCTTGAATTTTTTTTCTTTTAGAGATAGTTCCTCAAGAACTGGTGGACCAATTTCAATGGCGAATGGTCTTGCCTTTGGTGGCATGTGCCTGATCTCCGATATTAACGGCCACTGTGCCACATACTTTCCTGCGGTGGCCCGACACGATTGGACAGAGGCGAATTGCGCACATGAGCGACGTACAATACTTGCAACTGACGATCAGGTGATTCACTAATCCATCGTTGCCATTCAGAATTGTAATTCTGTTTATTGTTACAGCTCAAAGTACGTGTTTCGATAGCAAATTCCATCCACGAAATGGCGGCCATAGCTCGGTGTGCCAGCCGACATCCGACTGATGTATCTACTTCCATGGTTTCAAGCGTACAGGTTTGCAGGGTGATTCTCAAGCAGTCTTTGTACTGTTTACTCGATTTATTATCTTTCCAAAATCACAAAAGATATCATCTTCCACGGCAGTGCAATAAGGCTAGCATTTCGAGGTTATTATTCCAAAGTTAGAGCCTCCATGATTCGACCTTGGGCTAACGTAGGACTGCTCCACGCTTGTTGCGACGTTCGTAGCTTTGTCCGATTTTCCTGAATTTTTCGCAGGTGTGTAGAAATGCATTAGTTGTATAAAATGGGTATTGAGGATTTGTCGGTTCCCATGTCAGCATTGAATGCGTGCTGTAGCCTCACACTTCGACTTCGTGCTCGCTACCTTACTGCTCGACAACTAGAGCTCGTTATAGGTGCTACTGTTTTCGTACAAGGTGGGATGAACTTGGATGAGAATGAGAGCAGGTGTCGTAATACAAAGACTATGAAGGGCTCAGAAGCCATTCGGGTCGCCAGACGGTTTCTTCCAAGCCCGGGCCAGCGGCCGTGTTTTTGGGCCATTCAGCCTTCCTCCTAAGTCATTAGAAAGTACACAGCTATGCTACAAGACTTAATTACGTGCAAGGGAATGATCTTTTATTCTTATGCCTGAGGTATTAAGGTAAGTGGTAGAAGGGTTGTCCAAAGCGCGTGTTAAAAAAAGTGCCGGGTCCATGGTCGTCAAGATCGATTGCGCTAATTCGTCGCGCTGGTAAGTGTGGAGCATCCAGTTTGAAAATATTAAGTTTCATAAGAGGGAAGGTCCTTTAGTATCCTCCTAACGCTAAAAGTCGCTTCATATTTAACAAAGGCTTTGTGTTGCTCAAAAGCAAAAGTAGTGTACTGTAGAACTGTCGTATATTTTGCTATTTTAACCATCAGTTTTGTAGGGAGGAGGATGCGTTCGAAGTACGCGTTGGTCTGCTGAAGCATCTCTTTGAATTCTATCGAGTGAGTTTTTTCTCATGCTTAGATGCCTGTGGTTTTCACTTTCTGGAAAAGGATCATGATGCGTTTTCGTTACTGTCCTTCTACAGTTCATTCTTGAACTCAGTTGTGCTTCGCTTCATTTTCTTCGTTTATGTTCTTACCTATAATATATTCCGTTTTTCTTCCAGTGTTTGTCGCCTGAAACTCGGAAAGGTATGATCGATGCGCTTCCACAGTTCATGCCGATGGATAACTCAATGCTCAACGGTAACTGGAGATATCGGCACGAGTTTGCCAAGTGGGTTTTGAAATTTTTTTCCTGATTGGTCATGTCATTGGTAAACAAATGCGTTCTGTATGTGAGGATGAGCTGTTTTGAGAGCTCAACACCTTAGCTTTTGACCGCCACATTTGTGTTAGTAAACCCTGAACCGCTTCTAGAAATTGCTCGTTTCGGCTCAAAATGCTGTTTTTCACATTAGGGCAGCCGCAGGTTTCAATATGTAGATCTTGGTGCACTGTTGCTCTGACTGTCTTGATTCCTTCGGCTGCGCAAAGCTGCTGAAGAAATAGTTTATTAAGCAAAAGTTGATTGCGCTAATATTCGTTTTGTGTACCACATCATAGACTTCACGTTGAATTTCACTGAACATTCTTCATTTCCAGACAATGCAACAAGCTCTGTGAGATGTATGGTATTGAAGAGATCAATCGGACAATGAGTGCCATCGCTCTCACTTTAGCTAATGGTGTGTTTGTATAATTACATTTAATCACGTTGAAGTATGGGTGTTAGGACAGAAACGTTTCCGCTTGTCGGCAGCGCGAAATTTCTATCGGCTGTGAGACCGCAGCTTCTCACTCCTGATCTTGTGTAGTAGCGGGTTGGGGAACGCTATTCTGTAGCTGAAGGTTTTTCATCCTAGATGCAGAGTAATATGATAATCATTCATGAAACGAAGTAGTTTTTGAAGGAAAAGTAGTGAAATTCCTGGAACATCTGAATATTCTGAGGGTATTTTTGGGTATATTCCTCCAAGCGGAGTTTGGGCTGGTTGGGCACATGTCGCATATTTAGATGCCGCCGTAGTGCTTGCTGCCCACTATTACACATTTATTGATACTTTTGCCTCTTCTAGTGCCCTCTTTATTTCGAAAGCTCATTTGCAGATCGAGTGGCGGAAGTGCGCAAGGAAGCAGTTCATCTTTTGTCGCAGATTCTCGCTCGGCTAGTTGATCATGAATGGGCGGACCTGGTCGCAAGCATAGAATCGAGTGATAGTTCGCCTGGCGCTACATTGACTGAGCTTTTCATCAGGACTTAGTCAATGCGTCTTCCGCAAATACGCAGAATAGGACTCGCGGCAAACGGAGTTTCGGGCCGGCAAACATTTTCTTCTTTAAGCATTCTTGCAGAAGTATTTTGAAAAAAATTTCCACAGTAGTCTAATGTGACTATTACTTGTCGTGAGCTGGTTAGAACCATTTACAAATATCTGAGAATACGGTCTCCTCGATAGTGATGGAAGGACGATAGTCCCTGTCATATGTGAGGCCACAAGATGCTTGAGCCATTCGCTTGTGAGAGGAGATGAAGGTAAATTGTTGCCCATTATACAACTCTCTACACATGGTCAGCGGACGTCTACGTCTTGCTCGTCTCCTATGCTCTTGAGCCTGTTCTGTCATCCCGGTGCCAGTGGGTCTTTCGTAGCAGCATCACGTCAGCTTCACGGGACATTTGCCTTATTTTTACTGTTCTCAGCAATTTTGCTTTCTTTTCAACAAGCTGTTCGCGTTATGGCCCAATTACCATTTTCGAGTTGCAGAAACCACACTACAGGTTATGAATCTGCCTCAGGCCAGTATCAGACTGCAAATCCGTGGATTCGCTGGCGAATCGCGGTACGAGCGACGCACCAGCTGTTCGAGCTCTGTACCAGAAGATCGAACTATGCACCAGTTATTCGAACGATGTACCAGCGATCGGACGAATTCGGAGAGAATCGAGAACGAGAAAGCGCAGAACCTCTCGCGTTTCGCACGGTCACTCTTTTCCTATTCCCGGGCTCCTCGGGGTCTCTACGCCTCGTCATTCCCGCGTGAGCCGGTGCAAGAATGAGTGGGGTCAGAGGGGCTGTCAGTCCTTTTTCAAAACTGTCAAGCGCGCGTACAATGTTGGAACCCGCGGTGCATATTTTGAACTGTTGACAAGCCCGCTGGCAAACCGCTGCTACTTCATCTTCTGCCTAACTATCCCGCGTTCGCTAACTGGGGAATCGCGAAGTCTGACCGACCCGACCTTAAATGGATGTGTTTGTTAACAAAGTTATTACTGCACCCTTGCCATTTATTGGGAGCCAATGTCTTGTAAAGTCCGCTGACCATTCCAGGTTTGCGTACGTGTGTGAACGGGTGCTACTGGACCACTCTTTGTCGATGGAACAGTTCCGATACTTCCTTTTGCCTCATCTCATCTCGATGGCTACAGACAGTAGAGTGTTACTCGTTTCGCACTTCAATCAGCGTCGCATCAACCAAAAGCAGTTACAGATGTCGTCAACGTGCGGATAGCAGTTTGTCGCGCTCTTTCGCTTTGTGACTCGTCCCTGCAATCACATGCGATAGCAAGCGATTCAAAGCGATTGACGCCGCTAACTGTAAACACGGTACTGGAGCGACTTGCGAGTGACGACGATATGGACGTGGCCAGAGCTGCTCGTCAAGCCATGGGTCAAACAGTTGGCAATGAAACTGTGGAAATTTCAATGAGAGGTTTTCGCATCAGGGAGAAGGAAAACGCTCTATTGGACACCCAACTAGTCGACGATTATGAAGAGAACGATATGAGCTTGTGTTCAGATTATAGTGAAAGTTCACTTCGTATGACTCAGAATTTCCTTCAACAGCACGATTCTTCTAGTTAGGCGTTTTATGTATGCGTGTATTTGCTCAATTATTTTTGTTACAAATTCAGAAATGAGGTAGTAGATTATTGATCTAACGCCTGACGCGCGTGACCATTCATGATTTCTAATCGATGTTCTCGACGATTCTGCCATCATTTATCCTTTTCTTTCCCTGATCATGCTATCATTAAACGTTTTCCTATTACTCTGTCTGTCACTTTCCATGCTCTGCGATTTTTAACTTCACTTTTTCATTTTGCCATCGCTTTCTCACATCAATCAACCCACGAAACATGAACTACTTTCTTCATGCAGTTCTTTCACAGCAACACATCTCTCTTTTAATTTAAAGCTCGGAAAACGGTTGTTTTGCTTTCCGAGCTTGTATGAATTCCCAATTGAAATTCGATTATTGAGTAGAATTCGATAACTTATTGGCTTACATCTGGAGTAATTGTCCTTATCTGTGTACAAGACTTCGGTGCTCATGCAATCTCATCTTTTGTATGTATCCGAAGGAGGAAATAAAGATTAAGTTGTATTACAATGTTACTTTTACTGGAAATTCCTAAAGTACATCAGTTACCACCTCGGTTTGGGACTGCAAATATATCTATTTAGTGCACTTTTATTTGTTTTATGTCGTCGTTAAAATAATGGGCGAAATTTGAAAACGGTTGTGTGGTCCGTTGTCACACAAAAATAGAGGAGGCGGAGATTGGCCAAAACGATAAGCGATGGTTTTTTCATGGTCAACATGAGGGAAACAAGGCGCTATCGCAAGATCGGGGGCGTTGGCAGTATATATTCAAGACCGCGTAAGACGTATTCTTCTTGCTGAAATCGAGACTAATTGTAAGCCTAGCCTAATGTGGGGGGGGAACTCATGGTGTATGAGGGAATTTTCAGTTTTCCCCCTAGTTCTGTCCTATCTTGCTATGTCTAGATGATGCCGCGTATCGTTGCAATAGGTGGTAAAATGTTGCATAGGAGAGATAGTGATGGGCTTATTCAATGATTCTATCTTTGGATAATCTCGCAGGTCACGGTGGTGACATTATTGTTGGTGGAATAGTTCGGGGCGAGTCGGTAATCTAAGTTGGGATTTAGGATGCCTCAGCCAGGCCAAAAATCAGGGGATTGAGTGTTCATTGGGTATTTTATATTGCGACTAAGTGTAAATAATGAAGCAGCCTTCTAAGTGCCTTGCAACTCAAGAAAGACGAGTGGCGGGCGTATCTACGGAGGCAGAAATTCTGGCGTGTAAAGCCTTTTAATGTAAGGGCAAGTATTGATGAAGCTTTTTGTCATTAGAGGTTAATATCTATTCTTTAACCCATAACGGACGGCCAGTGTATTTTACGCCACCCAGGGTAGGGTTTATGTAGGCTTATGTGAACAGCAGGGGTAAGACGGGGCTAAAGTAGGTGTCGGAGTCTCATCATCCGAAAAAGAGATTTCCGTTGACGACAAGTTCGTAGCCCGCCTTTCCGCTCTAAAACTAGGGTGCAAAGAATGAATGGAAGCTGTAGGTGACATTATCGAAAAATGCGAAACAACAACCCCGAGCAAGGATGTGGCTATATTTAGGGGAAGGGGTCTCGGGACGTGCGAACCATGGGTAAGCCACCCATCAAATAGTAAACTTATGTAAATTAAGACAAAATGTATGTAAAATTTATTGTAGGTTTGTCAAAAATCCAGTCGTCCAGGTCCTGGGAAGATATGTTATTCCACATTGCTGAGAGTATATATGGGTATATTAATGCTAAGAGACTTTCCAAATCAAAAGTATAATAGTTCGTGCGCTCGTTGTAGCGCAGCTGTCCGTGCGTTATGGTCAAGCTATTTCGATGCAACAAGAAAAGTAAAGTCCAGAGGAGTGTTTCCGCAAAGAATTCTTAAAGGAGGAATTCACGATTAGAATGAAGGTCGAAGAAAGGGAAACTGACCTAGTTGAGGGACCCACGGACCTCCTGAGGGTGCGAACTGACGCGCAATTCGCATGGAAAAATTTGACCTCGGCGACCTATCATGCCTCAAAGCTGGCGGGTCGGCGATCTCCGCCCACCGATCATCTGATCACTCGCCGCAGGTCTATACGTGGTGAGTGATTAGATAGGTGAGAGAGCGTAGCGTTGAAGAGGGCACAGCGATGATAGTCGCATCAATGCTCGAAATCAACGGGCAAGGAAGGGGTACCATTTCTCGGGTTCTGGGCCGTTTCTCATGGTTCTTCCTTCTTTCGTGTACCACTCACCATCCCTAGGTTAATTTGAAATGGGTTGCTTTTTCATCGTGAATTCGTCCTTTAAGGTATGCATCATGTCG